ATACACAAGTTAAAAAATGTACAGTACAGCCAGGTGTGGTGGCACATGCCTATAATCCCAGCTACTCGGAAGGCTGAGGTAGGAGAATCCCTTGAACCTGGGAAGTGGAGGTTGCGGTGAGCTAAGATCATGCCATTGCACTCCAGCATGGGCAACCAGAGGGAAAGTCCATCTCAAAGAAATAATAATAAAAATTAAAAAACCCATGTACAGTACAAATAATAATGGAATCAGCAGAACCCACTTATAATGGTCTTTTGCATTTTTGTTAGTGGTTTAAAAAAAACTAAGTAGGACAGATGTAGTGGCTCATGCTTGTAATCCCAGCACTTTGGGAGGCCAAGGCAGGCGGATCATGAGGTCAAGAGATTGAGACCATCCTGGCCAACATGGTGAAACATCGTCTCTACTAAAAATACAAAAATTACCTGGGCATGGTGGCGCACACCTGTAATCCCAGCTACTCAGGAGGCTGAGGCTGAAGAATCGCTTAAAAACCCGGGAGGCGGAGGTTGCAGTGAGTAGAGATCTCGACACTGCACTCCAGCCTGGCAACAGAGCAAGATTCTATTTCAAAAACCAAAACAAACAAACAAAAAAAACTAAGTATATCATAGTATTCATTTACGATATTTAGCTTTATTCAACATGTAGTCCTTGAGTACTATGGCAGTCATTCCTAATATCACTCTCCTTGTCCACCTGCCACTAAAAAAGCTGAAAAAGTCCATTTGTTTTCTCAGCTACCTCTGGACTTCTTGAAGGTAGGGGTGGTCCTGCTTCAGCAATGAGATGGGAAGAGAAGTCTTTTTGGGGCAAGGCTGATACTCACAACATTTTACAGTTAACATGCAGGATACAGACCAATCAGAATGGAACCCTAAGAATATGACATACGGGTATATACAAACTAAATAGCAGCCCTAGCCAAAGGGCTTCTTGGGAACGTTTTCCTCTCTGACAGAAGAGGAGAAAGCACAGGAGGAAAACTTATTTTGTTCCTGCCTTGCTTCATCCTCCTTGGGATGCTCTTTTCTGGGGATGAGATGTTTGGAGCTGCGGCAGCCATTCTGTGAACGTAAGAGGAGATATCACCGAACCATTAAGGATAGCAGAGAAGAAAGGCAGAAAGCTCAGGTTCTTGATGACACTGTTGACTTAAACAGGTACCTCTGGACTGCTTAAATGAGATACTCTGTATTTTAATAAACTGATGCTGGTCAAGTTTCTATTATTTGCTGCCATATGTGTTCTGATACAAATATTCTCCATGAGTACGGTGAAGCAAAGAACACAGAAATGACTCGGGCCAGCCCCCAAGGCCTCATATTTGCTTACTGGTGCATCCATTCATTCTTGCATTCATTCAAGAGTCACTACAGGAAGGATTTCTATAAGGGATCCTCTAATGAGGTTGCTTGAAGACTACCAAGAAGAAGGAAGAATGATTCTTGTCCTTGTGGGAGCCGGCACACACACAGCCAACTTTAATGCAAAGACCAATGTGTTAGCACAGCAGAAAAGGTCCAAAGGAAGAATGGCTGGAGCCTACAGGAGAAAGGTAGAGAGATTTTTTGGTTGAGACAGCATTTGCAATAGCTATTGAAGCTTGGGGAAAGTATGGTATACAGGAATTCCAGGGCAAGGTACAGTAACTGTTAATTGCTGGATTAGGCTTCAGTGACCAAGCCAGGAAGGTGGGTTGGGGCCATTCTGTGGTGAGCCTTGAATCCAAGTTGGAGAGTTTCAACTTAGAGATCTTGGGACATGACAAAAGCATTTGAAGCAGAAAGTGACATACAGGAGATGCTCTAGGAGCAGAAGAGATTAGAAGCAGACAGAAGAGTTAGGAAGCGGTTCTAGGGGTCCGGGTGGGAAGGCTGAACGGTGAATGAGGGAGGATGTGTACGGGGACGTGGGGTCTGTTCTTCCTATTATATCATCTGAGCATGAATGAAAGACAAAATGTGCAGGTACTATATAGGTAAGCAATTAGACCTAGATTGTTTAATTTTTTTTTTTTTTTTTT